CTACTGAACTCAATGTATCATGTTGTAGTACAAACAATAATAACAATGGAAGGCATGAAGAAATTGGATGTAAGTTGACCTATATTAACAGTATTGTATATACATAGTAGACACTATTCAAGAGGCAACCTACAGTACTGTAATGAAACCCATACTGCCAGTGATAGAAGAGTTTCCTGATGATGTGAGATCTGAAGAAGGTCATCAGGTTCTTTTTGAAGTTAAAGTTAAAGTTAGGGGAAACTCAAAACCATCTTTTAATTGGTATCATAATGGAGAGCCAGTGACTGATGATTATACTCATGAGCTGAGAGGAGATGGTAGTCTACTGCTAGTGAGTGTTGAGGAGAAACATAAAGGAACATATCGTTTTGTTGCTAATAATGATGCTGGAACAGTTAGTCAACAAGTTGTACTCACAGTTGCAGTGGAGGGAAGTGATGAGAGCAGATTGTTACATGGGGACTCATCCAGTGCTAAGATTGGTATGATTCCTGTTGATAAATTTGGAGAATTTGTAGCTAAAGGACATGCTAAAGGAAACGAAGGATTTAGAAACCAATTTGGGGTAAGACGTTTATCTTTATTTCTTTTTTATATCTGTCTCATATTTCTCGTTTCATTCATGATTCTATATCTTCTATGTTATTTTTGTTAATAGATGTTGGATAGTGGTGAGAGTGAACACACAGTGACAGTTGGTCTTACTCCAAGCAATAAACTGTTGAATCGCTTTGCAAACATTGTAGTCTGTGAGTTACCACTAAAACAACATTGTCATTGAAAGATACACTTACCATATAATGCATTATTGTTATTGTTGAGAACATTGGCTACTATTATCAAATGAGCTTTGATATACACAGTACTCCAAAGCTATCCCATTAACTGTTATTCACTTATGTACATTAGCTAATAGTTTAATTCATTCATTACAACTCATATAAAATTATTATTTCATACAGATGATGACAATCGTATTACACTAAGACCAATGTCAGGCCATAAGGATTGTACAAACGAGTATATCAATGCATGCTTCATTAAGGTAAGTGAATAAATATCATGTATTATCATGACATACATAGTTTAATATTATAATGTATTAGTGCATACTAAGATATTGTTGTTGGTTTGTGATGAATTTGTTTTGACATTAGGATTACTCTAATCAATATCAGTATATAGCAACACAAGGTAAGCAAGTTACTATTTCCCATACATTGTTTATCACAAGTTGACAGTCTTAATGGACTGAAAGACATACATGTAATTGATCATCACTTTCAATAACAAGGAATCATAAACTACTGATAGTCAGA